GGATGGCAGTCACCTGTCTATCTCAACTTCATCGACTTTGAAAAGGCCTTCAGCAGACAGCGTCGATCGAGAGGTGATTTGGAAACTACTTCGCTGCTACCAAAGGGTGCCGCCAACAGTTATACATCTCATCCAACAGCTGTACGATAATGCTACATGCCAAGTAATCCACAGTGGGAAAGCCATGGAGTCCTTCGAAGTGAAGAAGGGAGTGCGCAAGCTGGCTGCTTACTACCTTCAATGATTTTCCTGATAACGGCAGACTGGATAATGCGACAGGCATCGGCGGGTAACAAGAAGACAGGCATAAAATGGACCCACACAAAAATCTTGGAGGATCTGGACTTCACTTATGATTTATGTCTGATTTTTGACAAACTGGAAGATATGCAAGTGAAAAACAACATATTGGCAGAAGGAGCATCCAGAGAAGATCGAACCTCAGGTGAACATAAAGAAAGTAGAGGTAGGTGATGAAGGTTGCTGGCCAACAGCAATAACAAAAGTAGACAACAATCAGCATAAATGGAAGAAATTTGAAAAACGTAACCTCCTTCACCTACTAACCTGGGAAGCATCGTTTCAACTTCAGGCCGACGGAATTGATAAGGATATCAGAGTGAGGATCGGGAAAGCAAGGCAAGCTTTCATTACTGTCAGGTCTGTGTGGAGGTCAACAGCACTCAGCATGAAAAATAAGATCCCGATTTTCAACTCCAATGTGAAGTCAGTGATACTTACCATATGGATAACAGACTTGGCGCGTTATAAAGAGCACCTCAAACAAACTACCGACCTTCATCAATAGCTGTCTTCGCTCAATACTACTCAAGATCAGAGGGCAGGCCAGAAGAATCAGCGACATGGATCTCTGGGAGCAAACCAACCCAGCAGGAACCGATTATGCAACAGATATGCAAGAAGACATGGAGGTGGATTGCATCGGGCATACTTTGAGAAAACAAACCATCAAGTGACATCACACGCCAAGCTATCTGTCTGTCAAGTGGGACCCGAATGGGAAGCGGCGAGTAAGTTGGTCGTTAGTGCGAGAGTGACATCGAGGAAAAAGCGATGCGAATAGGAGATGGAAGCATGTGGGCAGACGTGGAGACAGATGAAAACGTTGGCAGAGAACCGAACGCATGCAGACGTTCGGCTAAATCCCTATTTTCCTCTAGGAACTAAAGAAAACAATAATAATAATCAATTAGGTGTGCTAACCTTGTCCTGATTTTTTTGGAAGAGATCTGGGCAACAATAGGGAGCAAACACCTAAGTCAAATGATCTTGAACCAACCAATCACATCGTTCGGAATTAAAAATGGATGCATTTTATAACCTTCGTTGAAAGTTTGACCCTGATCCAGGGTATAGGTTGGAGTGGCATTCACGATGAAGATTATGAAAAGCATCGATTTGTAATGCTGAGCGATCTGATTGGTTGGTTGAAGGTCGTTTGACTGTGGTATGACTATTCATTACTGTTGCCATGTACTGATTGTTTCCCGTAATGGGGAGTAAACTGGAATACTTACTTTATGTACGTTAGTCATTCGACAAATATCGATTTGCTATAAACACCACACTTTGAATTATTCCTCATTTAGTAATTTCTAATATACTTTTCTCAAAGTAATTAAGACATAAGGTTGACAGGTAAATGATTTCACATCACTTAACCACATTAACAATATTGATTTTACTTCAATGCTTCGCAAAGTGGAGGCAATTAAAAGTTATCCTGGTATGTAATAATGAGTCGTATAAGTACTCAGAAACTGACCATCTGTCGCTCGACAGTAGAACGCTCACCAATCACATCTCAAGTGGTGCGACCCCCGGTCCTCAGCCGATACACTTTTTCACCTCCCTAAGCCGGTAAGGAGGGTAGATTGGGTGTGAGGCTAGAAACCCCGTCCCTTAAAAATAAGCCCCAGTGTTACCGAATCTCCAAAGCTCTAGCTTGCAGCTCTATGTTCCACTAGGAACGTAAAGGAATAAAATAAAGAATAACTCGGAAATTGCTCACATCATTCAATAGTCTTTTCCAGCCTAATTGACGCAGTATAATAGCCAGATAGTTGTTTTATTCGTTTAAGGAAGAGTTGACCACAAGGTAACAGGTTTAATTCACTTCAGAGTGCACTAAAAGCAAACGAATTGGCTGCCCGTGTGTTCAAATCATACCGACATGACTAGCAAGCAAGCATTACTTGTTGACATGAGTATAGTAACAAGTAAAAGATAATATTATGATTTGAATATTTTTAATTCTGCAAAATATAAGGTGCAGTGAAATTCCATCTTTAGAAAAAAAAACGGCAGAATGAGCGAAGAGACATGCATTTCGTTTTCAATTAATTCCTCGTCATCGGCTGGCTGGCTCTAGACACTAATATATATTTTGATGTGGTTTTGTTCTCTGAGCTGGATGGTTAGTTTGCGAAGCTTTCATCACCTTACTGGGTGACATCTTCTGCGCATACTTCAATTTGAAGTGAGCTTTTAGATTTCTCCACGAGTTTATTAATCACCTCTTCTGGTGACCTTGAACGTGATTGGTTGTTTGTGTGTGTTTTCACACCTTCTAGGCTACTTGTATTGGGACTAATTGTTTCTTTGACTTGAACTTTGACCCTCTGTGTGTGCATGAGATTTCCTTCTTCTTATCGCTTGGTAACAATTTTGTCTATCTTGATGTGTGTCTATTGATTGATGATTCACAGGAATGCCAAGCTTCTAAAAATTCTGTAGCATTCTTGTTGTTTCCTCTGTCTAATATTTGAACGTTGTCCCAGTCGAATTGATGTCCGTGGTTGTCTGTGTGTAGTGAAATGAGGGAGTGGATATCATGTCTTTTGACGGCTAGCGCTTATGTTCGTAGATACGAAGACGAAGGGGACGTCCAGTTTGACCAATGTAGTGTTTTTCGCAGTTGTTGCAATTTATTTTGTAGATGATGTTGGTTTTGTCTTCTTTCGCTGTTGAGTCTTTTGGTTGACATAGAATTGAGTGAAGGGACTTTGTTGGTTTGTGTATGACGTCAATTCCTAGAGGTTTGAAGAGTCTTGTAGTGATTTCTGAGATATCCTTTATATATGGTAAGGCGAAGGTGTGAAAACACACACAAACAACCAATCACGTTCAAGGTCACCAGAAGAGGTGATTAATAAACTCGTGGAGAAATCTAAAAGCTCACTTCAAATTGAAGTATGCGCAGAAGATGTCACCCAGTAAGGTGATGAAAGCTTCGCAAACTAACCATCCAGCTCAGAGAACAAAACCACATGAAAATCATCCACCTGAGTTACAAATCTTCTCTATCACACTAATATATATATATATATATATATATAGTTTCTTACATCAATTTCTTACATCAGTTTGAGGTATAACTAGACGGAGTTGAAATTAAGAGGTTAAAGGTCAAAACAAAACACCAAATAACTCATAGATGCTAGTAACAAAATATCTAATTTTTTAAAGAAGGCGTGAAAATTAATTAGTTACAGAATTCAAGATGAATTAATTCTTAGGCATTAGCAGCAAGTGATTACATAATCAGGTAATCTGTAAAATAATGATGACTCAGAAGGCTTACGTAAAATACAAACATGGTTAATAGAATTTAGTCAGAATTGTAATCACATAATAAACTAACAAAGTCCCAGACTAGGCTGACAAAATAGCTGGCTGTCCAATACTCCAGTAGTGGTTTTCCTATGGTTCCCTAACTGATGTCAGCTCATGGTGAAATCCTGTAGCCAGACAAAAAGAATATAAAATTAAATTAAGTGAAAATATTAACAATAATGTGACAGTTAAGAAAAATTGCTCCTTTTGCTTAGAGTTCCACAGTGAGTTGATAATTTCCTGCCTTACATTTTTCTCATTACATAAAATGTGTGCTAAATTGTAGAGTTTTTGTACATGGATGAGTTTGCCCACGGACTGATATCTCTGTTAGAGAAGCATTGAAAACCAGCCAGGGATTACTGAACAATTGTATTATCCTAGTTTGGGAATCGTCGACAGTACGCACCCACCACCAGGGTTCGAACCAGGACCTTCTGGTTTCAAGGCGAGCTAGCTCGTATATCATTCAGCCGCTGGGACCCGACACTTCAATGGTAAACCCATGAATTCCAACTTCTACCAGTTGGTGATTTAGCGTGACTGGCACCAAGCAATTTCATGGGGGAGGGGAACTCCACCCTCACACTTGACTGGATGGATCTCATTTAGTCATCTGAGCATATAGCCTTCTATAATTACTTCTAATTCCCCTACCTGATGAGATGTAGCAAGAAGAGAGTTGTGTATAGAGAGGATGTTCAGAGTCTGGCATGATAATATTTACTAATTTTTTGCAGGAGTCGGTTTTTAACAACACCTCACTCATCCTACTGACAGCTTTTAGAGCCTTTCTCAGTCTAACCAAGTAATCTTTCTTAAATTAACCGAGGAAAGATTAAAAAAGAGATCATTATAGAATTGAATTTTTGATTTTCCCGACGATTGCTTGGACCGAAGTGCTCGGTCTCAGGTTGACATGTTGGCTTCTTGTGCAGATGCTTCGACGATGTCTAGGCATTTAGTTAGTATACAATTGGTGGATGGTGGCTAGCAGTGGAATCCAGGATGCGCATTTCGTCCTATTTGGGACTCGTCAGCTGGATGTACCTGCATTTCTCAGTGAATGATGATGTTCCCACCGAGGCTCGAACCCAGTACCCATAGTTTCAAACGCCAAAGCGTTATCCACTAGACCACTTGGGCGACGAGAGCCACCTCTTGTGCAACGGGTCATATATTAATTATTGAATTGAATTTTTGATTTTCCCGACGATTGATTGGACCGAAGTGCTCGGTCTCAGGTTGACATGTCGGCTTCATTATATTTAAAATGCTAATCAACTAATTAAACCTACTTCATAATGACAACTGTCCAGGTGACAAATTGATTATTTCATCATTGTTCACTTTACTTTATAAAGATTCTATTGAAGATAACAAAACCAATTTAAGTGAAAATCAGTTGGTCGCTCATTTAGTACGCCGTCCTACAGCAGAACAAGGAGAAGAAGGCGATGGCGAAGGCGAAGAAGGGGAAGGGGAAGGCGAAGAAGACGATGACAACGATGATGAAAGAAGTCCAGATGTAGATTCAAGTGAATCTATATACTCTGAAAATTCAATAGATCCACATCAGTTGAATAAATCATTTCAACATTGTAGTCCACATAGTAATATAATAATGAACAAAAAATCATTGACAACATCAAAAATGAATCACCATCATCTGCATTCATATCATCATAATTTAAAAAGTTGTGATTATCACAGCGGGATGAAGAAGTCAAAGAAACCGCGTAAAGCAAGAACTGCTTTTACTGATCTTCAGTTGAATGAACTGGAAAAAATGTTTGATCGACAAAAATATCTTAGTGTACAAGATCGTGTTGAATTAGCGGAGAGATTAAGGCTAACTGATACACAAGTGAAAACATGGTATCAAAACAGAAGGTAAGTAAGCACTTCTGGAAGTTATATATTTTTCTTTTATTTATACATTCCTTCAAGTTCCCAGTGGTGGAACATACGGCGGCTTCAAGTTAGAGGTTTTAATGATAATAATTTGCTTTATTCCAAAACAGTACTTGTGATACAGAATGGAATTCTCAGCATTTTTACTACAGTATTGCGCATCCAGTTTGTACATTAACAATAAATAAAATTCTACATAGATTATGGGTAATCTCAAAATATTTGCATATCGGTAGCAAAGCCAAAAGTGAACTGAATGTTTGAAAGTGTTAGAAAAGTAGATACTACTAGCATATTTACTGGCGTAAGCAGAAGAAAGAAACAAAGCAACACATAACAGAGAAAAATAAAGAGAGAGAAAAGGAAAAGAAAGAAAACGTTGTACCTATAAATGATATGAGTTGGAAAGACGAGATCCAGTTGCTCTACTTACTGTTTAATAAGTTATAGGTATCACGCCTAATGCTTTCTTTATCGCACAGAACATGAGCTAAGTAGGGTATGGTTGAGTTTTCGTACTTGCTAATGCGAGCATATAGTTTTCTATATAGGCTTCTGGTCTGATCTGGCCTGATGAGATACAAGGGGAGAGTTGTGAATGAAGAAGGTGGTGTGAGTTAGATAAAGTGGATTTAGCCCATTTTCCACATGAGTCCATGTGCCTGTCGACCAGAATATTAACAAGCTGGTTAAGTGGCACATTGCTTACCCTTCTGACAACCTTTAACATTCTGCGTAATAAGGTATAGTCTTTCTTCAGTAGCCAGCCCTGGAAAAACTAAAGGGAACAATAGAGTATAATAGGCAGAATGCAAGAGTTAACGAATTGTAGGAGTAAGGGTTGGGTTACACCAGAATGTCTTAACTTCTTGATGTAGAAGGTAAGACGGAATATTTTCTTAGAAATCCTCAAGATACGAGACGATTAGGAAAGATCAGATGTTAGAATGGCGCCAAGATATTTAATTTCCGACTCGGTCTCCATTTCAGTGGCATCTATGTTGCACATCTCGTGAGTGCTAACCAGTTTGTTTAGGTCAGACTTGTGCCCAAAGGTGAAATTGACCGTTTTCCTTGGACCACTGGCTGATTCCTGATAAAAAGTCATTTAGTTTGCAGCAGTCACTTTGACACTTGACAGGCAAAGATACAGTCAGGGCGTCATCATATTCAACAAAATTAATTTCATTTGAAGATGGTAAGTCATGTAGAAATAAGGAAAAGAGACGTTTCCATACCAGTCGTGTTTATTTTTTCGAGATGGGGCTGTTAGTCAACCTCATGCCCAAACCTTCCTTCTTTACCAGTCTTATTACTGGCTTAGCGAGGTTTCTGACAGCGTTCAGTGGCCAGGGATCGGACCACGAACCAAGTGTAGTGTAGTTTGTGAGCATTCTACCGCTGTGACACCGACGCAATTCTGGAATAAACTAACAGGAAGGGGTATGATTATTAAATTTTGGCTTATTAAATCATAATTGGTACTACCAATAAAATAATTTTAAGAGTATTCGTAAGCATTTTAATGAGGATTTTATGCTGGCACAGTTTCGTTTAGTTTACCACTGAAGAGATGAAAGAAAAATTGTCTTGGAACAAGATTTTAATTCAGAATTGCCGCTACCATCAGTGGTGCTACTGTTGTCGCCAATTGTCTAAACTGCATGATTAAGACTTTATTTCTTACTGATGACAGTTGACGACTTTGACAGTGTCGTTATTGTGGCTATAGTCTAGAAGATGTTTCATTGTTGAATTTATTGGAATTTTCATTTTCTTTTATGCCACAACTACTTCCGTAGGTACTTCGTCAGAAAAATAATGCGAAACATTTCGGTTACTCTAAACTATAGCAAGCCAAAGCGAAACTACCTAATAAAGACCTTGGCAAGTATCTATCCACCAATCACATGCGTCCGTAGTAAAAGTGCGTAATAAAAAAAGTCTATGTAAAAGTAATACAGTGTTAAAAAATAGTTACGTAGGATATCACTTCCTTGTACGTGATCCAAAAAACCCTCCCATCTTCTCATAGGGGTCCTAACACTTAGGTTAAACCAATTTCCGCGCATAAATTCGTCGAGATAAGAGTAAATCACCGTGTTTTTTTACCCAACCACCCATTCATCACTCTGATCCTCTATTTTAGATGATTCCAGGAACTTTTGATGGAATTCGCGTTAGTCCCACATAAAGGATTAACGTGTGATTGACCACGTTGTGCATATAGCCCAGGAACTATAGCTGACTGTAGCCACTGTATTGGTTTGTATGAATGGTTGTGTAAGGCAAAACTAAACTTTAGATAGTGAATAATAAAACATGGGCACTACGATCACAGCTCGTCTGGATATATCTTTTCTGCAGGGTGGTACCGTATGATCCCAAAACCCACTGTTGATTAGCACTCAGTCTACCTCGGTTATATTTTCTTTTTATAGGCACTTTTTCATCCTCATGAACAATGCCACCGAGGCCACAAAGTATTTGAGTCATAATTGTTCATGACGTTATTATCTCTGAATTACTGGTATCACCACTACATCGCAAACAATTGTGAATTCTCCTTTTCGAATGCCGTCTCTGTAACTGGGCTTTCCAAGACCCGATTCTAATACGTCATCATAATTTTCACTGAAGGCAACTTCGACTTATCAAGGTTAAGCACCTACAGCATACATAAACTTAAAAAATTAACAGCATACCTTCTCGAACTGATTTCCTGCTTCGGTAGTCTTCGTACCTGTAGACAAAGCCATCAGTGCAGGTGGTGCATCTTTGCAAATGCATGTACACGTTTTCTCCTTTTCTATGATGAGTCTGCTATCCAAACACTACTTAGCTACTAGATTTAGATGAAATTGGCTACTTAATTTGTGTACAGCATCGATAATTACGTCTATATACTACGGACTCATTTGATTGATCTCTCAAGGTCATTGGCCCGTTCACAGCAGGTAGTTTCGTTTTGGGCCTGGTATAGTTTAAAGTTACCAGCAATTCTATTCCCAACACAAAGGTAAGATAATCTAATAAATGCTAATTAAACACTGGATTTAATCACTTTATTGGATTCCAGTAGAATTTATCAGACAATTACTGGTACGATATGCATAAATAGGTACGTAGATGGCCACTCAGCAATATTCAGACTGAATAATTGTTAACTATGCTTAGTTGAATGTCTTACTGGTATTAGTTATTATTTTGACCACCTACACACTCACTTCCGCATGCAAGGCTTATGCTACATTCTTCTGCATTTTTCATCGACAAGTTTAACTAGCTGACGAGTACCGACTAGCAAAACACCTAGGTCAGACATGGCTTCGTGCTGACTGCTTTCAATCATCTCATATCAACTGTTCACAGTGCATTCTGATGACGAGCCACTTAGCCTTGCATGATGGGCACATTGCAGACTTGAATAACAGAATTTAGTCTGCACCAAAGATAGAAGAACTAGACGCATCACACTAGTCACTAGCTGCTGTCCAATCAAAGATAAGTTTAACTTGTGGTGAGCCAAAAATTGCAAAGAGAAATTTAGGGCAATGTTACGTCCCGGATCGGAGTCATGGGCAAAAAACACAGTAACAAAGCTTAACCTTGAAGAACTCAACAACCAATCATAGCAGACTTAATGTGTGGAAATACGATTCGCAGATATATATATATATGGCTCAAATTTCTAAGAAACGGTCACACGCGGTGCAGAATAACCTTCAGCAAGAGAACAGCCAATCAGAACAGGTTGCTTCTCCGCTAACAATAATTTGCATAAAAATCTATAAATATCTGTCGATCTTCTCAACAAGCGATCTATTGCCTGGTCCTTGTCTTCTGTCGTTACAAACTTATATATATATATATATATATATATATATATATATATATATATATATACATATACATATAAAGCTGTTAAATACCAGAAATTGAAGACGAAGAATATTTCGATGTCGTTTCTTCGTTCAGCTTTTATCCTACTTGATAAATGTTTAAGCATTTGAAAAACAGATCTCTGTCATGTTTGCTCACAAGAAATAACAGAACTATGTGGTTGTATGGGTGTAAAGTTTTCCGTAAGCTGAATCATGGCTATATAGAAGTTGTTACGACCTTAAACGTTTAGACAGATTTCTTTTATAATAATAATATACAGTAATCCCATCTTTATTCCGGAGATTATTTATAAAATATACCGAAATTTCAGAGGAGTTTATTCCATGATATTCTACCTTCGTACAATATCTTCAAGTAAAATATTAATTGACACAATGCTCTCTGAGCTGAAGCAGAAACCGTTCCTTCCATTATGATACATATATCTCTGCTTTGTCTCCTTCAAGAGATCCACCCACGATATCTAGTTGAAAACAAATTGTAAAGTCTTCGGAAGTATATTTTGAGACCAAAGGACATAACTGACGAACAGTTATCTCATGTATTCGAGCATGTTGCCACGCATAATCACAGGTATTTCCTCAAGTTTAGTAAAAACTTGCAAAACTAAAGCTCATAAACATTCTAAATACACACACACACAAGAGTACGAAGTTAATTGGTGGCTGGTGACTAGCACTGGAATCCAGAATGAGCATTTCGTCCTATTTGGGACCCCTCTCTGGATGTACTTGCATTCCGCAGTGGTACATCCAGATGACAGGTCCAAGAAAGGGTGAAATGCGCATCCTGGATTTCCCCTGCTAGTCACCAGCTACCAATTAATTTCGAATTACATGCCCAGACATCGTCCAAGCATCTACACAAGAAGCCGATATGTCAACCTGAGTCCGAGCACTTTGGTCCAATCAATGAATCGACGGGAAAATCTAAAATTGAATTACACACAAGTGTAGATAATACCAATAGAGGGCTCATATCTTAATCGATTAAAACAAACCGATGCAATAGAGAGATGGAGGCTATTGGTAGCCCAAGTTTTAATCAGGCCACCAATAATTTTGTCTTAGGATGATAAATTAACCGTCTACCAATATATCTATATATGAATAAATATATATATAAATGCTTCGCACATGTTTTAATAACGCTTATTCAAAAATTTATCGTCTAATTTTATTATACTTTTAATAAAATAGAACAAAATGGAAACGTCAAACAGCTGTGGGTTTCGAGTTATTGGCTGAAGCTGGAAATTTTGTAGCCGTCCAGCGTATTCTACAAACTAATCCATATTGGGCATATCATCCAGCTGCACAAACCATCTTAGCCAATATGGAGGCAATTATGAAAAGTCGGACAGATATAGAAACAGCCTACGATTTAAGTGCTAATAACAATAATAATAATAACAGCAACAACAAGAATACTAGTAAAGATATGAAATCAAATGCATTTCGGCATATGATTTCTCATGATGATTGCGCTGCACAAGATCAAGATTTACTGCCGGTGAGTAAAGATACGCCTTGTTCTTTTAAATCAAATGAAACCAATGTTCAAACAATGTCAATGTCGGCGTCTTCTTTAAACTCAAAGCATACAACAGCATTACAACAAGACAACTGTGAAAAGTTGAAATCTCCTCAAAGTGAATCTCAATTCACTACAGAAACTTCTATCAGTGATAAAACTTATCCTATGACAATTATGACAAATAATAATAATGTCTGTTCTTTAGATTCTATAGATACAACGCTAAGCCATCCCTCAGTATTTGAACTACCTGATTGGTGGCCTTTTAAGTCAACTTTTAAAGATTTAATACAAAATCAAAATTTAAAACTACAAGATGTCGGGTATACAGGTGTACAGACGAAATCCAGCTGTATATCTTCTCTATCAATTTCTTCTAATTCTAGTCCTTCATTATCATTGTTCCCTTCTAAAACTTTACCGTCAACAACATCGTCATCACTGTCGTCATCATCAGCATCATCATCGTGTAGTTTTAGTCAAAATCTGTTAATGACAGCTGCGGCTAAATTATTACATTTAAATCTACCAATTGATTCTACCCTATTCAAACTGAATAATCTTAATTGTTTATGGCCGAATGGATCATTGAATTTATGTTCAGATTTATCCACGTTGAGTACACATGATTTATTGTCGACAAACCAGAATGTCACTACTTTATGAAGCGACAAAAACAAAATGGCTTCTTTTTTTTCTATTTCTACTGTATACACCTGATGAATTATTAGGTCAAGAAATCTGTATGAACAGTTAGTATGGATCCATTTACTTCATGGAGAGAGAGAGAGAGAAAGAGATTGGGACTGGTAATGGGATTGGGATTGTCTTTATCATGCATATATGTCACCAGTGAATTCCCTTTTAGACAAGAAGAAGAAACTGTACATGGGGATTTTAATCTGTTGAGTAGTTTTCGAAATATTTCATCGTATTTCGTTATATATATATATATATATATATATAATCATGACAATTGCACCATCAAACTATGAATTAAATCTAGAATATAGTCTTTTGAAAACTGAACCATATGTAATTACATTTTTGATTCATATTACAAAAACGAATAGGAAGAGTTCATCAAAGAGTTTTCTATTAATTTTCGTTTCTCGAATTGCATAATCGTATATATAAACAGTAGATTGTCTTAGCAACAAAAAGAATATTAAAAGATTTTATTATGAGCTGACATTGGTTAAGAAAATCATTGATAAACCAGCCAGAGAGTACTTTCAAAAATCTTTAAATATTCCTCATTTTTAATATTAGAATAAGACACATATAAGTGAACAATATTGTTGTTTTCAATTAGATCTTCTTCAGGCTTCTTTACTCTAATTTACATAGACTTATATATAAAACAATTTTAACCAATGACGGTGATTTTGTGGATCAAATAATAATAATAATAATAATGTGGTAAATGTTTTGAACGTAGTAACGATAACGATGATTATAATGATAACAAAATATTGATAATAAGGTTTATTTGTCAAGAAATCACTGAAAGGCAATTGGACTTAGGAATCCCCTTGTGTAGCCTTAAAGAATTACTTCTTAAATGCACAATGAATGTTCACTTTGTCTTCAATAATTCATACTACCAACATGTAGATGGAATAGCTATGAGTGGTTCACCATTAGGCCCAATATTAGCTGACTTATTCCTTTGAGCAAAACTTGAAAACGGGAAATCCAAGGACATCGTCAAGGCGTTTGATATGTATTACCGATATGTCGATGATACATCATCTATCTTAGCTGATGGAAATGTTAACATAGACGAATTGTTGCTGAAATTCAACAACATCCACCCTTCGTTTACCTTTAATTGTGAAGAGGAGCAGGTGAATAAACTACATTTCCTGGATGCCTTGTTAAGTAGGAGAGAAGATGGGTCATTTGGGAGAAGCGTGTATAGAAAAAGCACATTCACGAGGCAATACACACACTTCCTTAGTTACATGGCCATTAAATATAAAAGGAATGTTGTAAAATGTCTTACGAGCAGAGCAAGAAAGATATGTACGGATGACTTCTTGCAAAAGGAATTCGAATGTGTTCACAATTCCTTGACGGAGATGGGCTATTCGAATAGTTTCATAAAGAAACATATGAAAACATCGGAGAAAAAACCTGAGACTCTGACTGCATGTAAAAACCCCTATTTTTTAAGTTACAATTTAATGGTGACTTATCTAGTGAGATTCTATTCTAAAGACTTTCAAGGAGTATACGAAGAACATTTTACGCAGCACACCTATGTTTGTCATTCTCTAACCGACGAATGATTGGGACGCAAACGAAGGATAAGGTTGATAGTTTTGCCACACACCTACGTGCATTTATCCATTCAACTGCATCTGCGGTGACAGTTATGTAGGGCGTACTACTAGACAGCTTATCCAATAAACGTGTTACTGAACATCTATTATCGTGGTTTGGCAAAGGACAGGCAAAAACAATCCGTAGCTCAATTCTGTCACATGTAATTGATAGTGTTCATGTAGTGGAGAAAACGAGAGACTTCAAAGGAATTCATCGTATTCCACTGAATCTTTCTAATAGACTTCGTATTCGTCTACTGTACACAGTTGACGCAGACGATAGACATTTGAACTAATAAACCCAAACTATGCATTCAAAAGAAGTTCGTACAGCCATTATCCCTCTCTTTTTGGCCTATTAAGACATAAGCAACTAAAGACTTCTACACCACCCATTGTTTATATTCTCAAACTCTTTCTTATCATATATTCATTATAAAGGTGTTTTATTTCCTTCCCTTACAATCTAACATTACTTAATCGGTTCATTCGTTTTTACTAGCCTTTATCGACTACTACCACCTGAACAATTGTTTGCTTAATCATACTGCTTTTCGTTATTCGTGTTACCACAGATTGCCTCACTTTTTCATCCTTATTATTGGTAATAATAATAATAATAATGATTTACTTTATTCCAAAAACAGTACTTGTGATACAGAATGGAATTTTCAGCATTAATCACAATATTGCATCTAATTTCCTCAAATTATAAATAAAATTAATCACACAGAAAATTTTCCACATTTACAATAGAGGTAGTGTCAAAAACATGCAGCATATAAAATGGAAATAGCAATAATAATGATAACAGCTAGGGTAATAATAATAATAATACAAGTGAAAATTGCCGTTGGCTTGTGTCACACAGTATTGGCAATGTGGTATAGAAATCCTAACATGTTTAAAAATATTGAATATAATGTTCTCTTTACATGATATGGTGAGGGGAAAAACAAAGATTACAGCCGTCATGGAGATAAGTTGGTGTTTGCAATTATGAGAGTAAAACAAAGAAGTAACAGGACCATAAATATAATAGAAGTAATAAAAGTAAAACTTGAAGGTATATAAGGATGGATGGAGGAAATTGTTTATTTACTAGATGAAAAAAGGTTAGTTAATTCTTGCCTGACACTATTTTCATCACATAAAATACGTGCCAAGTATGGTATCATAGAATTTTATACTTAGACGTGCGAGCATACAGTTTTCTGAAGTTACTCCTTGTTCTACCTGAGGAGATGCAAGGTGAAAGCTGAGGGTAAAGCGGATGCTCCAAGTCAGACAAAATCCCTTTAGCAAATTTATTGCACGAAGTCAAGTGCCTATCGACAACGACGTTAACTATGTGGTCCACTGGGACACCACTCACCCTACTGACAGTCTTCAGTATTCTACGAATTGTGACATAGTCTTTTTAAGCAAACCAGGAAAGAATAAGGGTGAGCAATAAAGAAGAATAGGTAGGATGCAAGAGTTTATGAACTGTAAGAGGAGGGGTTGAGTTATACCCGAGTGTCTTAACTTCTTAATGTAAAATGTCAGGCGGAATATTTTACTGGAGATTGCTAAGACATGGGAAGACCAGGAGAGATCAGAAGAGAGAATGAGTCCAAGATACTTAATTTCTGATTTGATTCCTATATCATTGTCGTCAATTTTACAAGTGTCATGAGAATCGATGACTTCTTTTAACTGTCGTTTACATCTTAAGCTGAAATCAACAGTTTGACACTTAGAAGGATTCAGTTTAAGACCGTTAGACTCAGACCATTTGCTGACTTCCGATAGAAAGCTATTTATTTTAGTACAATCTAGCTGGGAGTTAACAGCCATTGAAACCGTTAAATCATCAGCGTACTTCACAAAGTTTATTTCATCAGAGTGAGGCAAGTCATGCAAGAAGAAAGAAAAAAGAAAAGGAGAAAGAACAGCACCTTGAGGGACACCAGCTTCAGTAGGCAATGAAGTGGAAGACTTCCCTTTATATACGGTGTACTGCTTTCTATCTGAGAAATAGGAATGTAACCAGTTAACAGCCCAACATTCTGTTTGACTAGCAGCAAGTTTATTTAATAAGATGTCCCTAGGGACCGAGTCGAAAGCAGATGTATAGTCTAGGAAGGCAACGAACAAATTTAGCCCCCTTGTCTAGACTGGAAGCAATGTTATGATATAAGACGGCAGCTGCATCTAAAGTGCTTCTACTGTGCTTATAGGCAAATTGTTTAGGGTCATTAAAGGATTTAAGCGAAGGTACAAGACTAAGTAAAAGTAATTTCTCCATAGTTTTCAAAAAAGGAGAGGTAATAGCAATGGGTCTAAATTTGACACATGCTCCAGTGGATGATTTAGGTATGGGTACAACTTTAATGTCCTTCCAAACGGCAGGCACAATATTATCGGAAAAAGATTTGTTAAATAGATCAGTAAGAGGGTGACACAGAATATCAGAACATTTTTTAAAAATAATACTAGGTACATAATCGGGACCTAAGCTCTGGGAAGGGTTTAGAGACTTGAGGCACTTTTGAACATCATTTGTGTTAAAACCTGGAAAGGGGCTATTATTAACACAAGTGATGCTGGGAAGCATGGCATTTGAGGGAGAGTAAATAAAAGATTTGTTAAGAGTACATACATCAAAAGAATATGGAATATTGTTTATCTGCTTACCACCAGTGATTTCCTTAAATAGTTTCCACATATTAGAAGGATTTTTGCAGGATATGAATTTCTGGTTATATATTACATTCAACCTCTGCATTTCAGACTTAATTAAGAAGTTAGTTCTTTTTACACCACTTTTATCTTTCATCTTATACAGTTTTTCCTTCTCTCTACGAAGCTTTTTAAGTTGAGGCGAGGAGAAACGGTCAAATTTGACGAATAGTGTTTCTTTTGGACAACAGATTTCAAAACAGAATTTCAGATAGGATGTAATATTAGAGATATTGTCATCAAGTGAATCATCATTAAACAAATCCCATCTTGTGTCACTGAGCATGTTTCTAAGATGATGTACGTTCTCATTTGAGTAGCATCTGTGAACAACTTTCTTAGACAAGTTTGAGAGGGCTTTACTGTGTAACTTTCCGTAAATTTTGGGTAAGACTCGTACAATACAATGATCAGAATTGAAGAGTGGGGCTCTTTTACGAGCTTCGTATATTCCAGAATCATTTATAAATACTAAATCAAGTGACCATTATTATTATTATTATTATTATTATTATCATTACTACTATTATGACTAATCGCACAATTTATATTCACCATCGTATTATCCTTTAGACAAAACACCATGATCGGTTTATATTTGAATTTTATTTG